ATAAAAAAACAAACAATTCATTCAAAAGTGTTCGCCCGTCTTTCATCCATTTTCTTCCTCTTATCTGGGATCAGGTCTCGGGGGCAGCAGTCTAAAGGCTGAGTCACACTACAAGATTTTAAAACAGTCGGCCCATTTTCAAAGACAGATAGAGCTTTGGTCCTACAGTGTGTGGTGTACAGTAACACGGCAAGAGACAACACACCACACACGAAAAGATATTTAATTCATGAACATTCAGATGTCAGATATTAAACCACGCGAGACTGCCTGAAATCTCGCGAGAATTCAGATGTCCGAGGAAAAATCTCACGTGACCTCAAGAGAGACGTGAGTTCAGAGTAAATAAACATTTGCAACAAGGAAGAAACAATGTTGGTTGTTTGTGGACTATTTGTCCCAGAGGAAAAACAATTCCATAGAACTTTTAACATCCAGCAGACTTTCTGGTGAGTCATGGCAGTTTTTTTGTCTCCTCTCCGTGTTTACATCACCTTGCTTTCTGATTGGCTACACATCTCATTCACAGGCTGAGAGCTCTACACACATTGTGATATCGGGCCAAAAAATTAAACATGTTGAATATCCCCGATTTGAGGTCGGAGCGGTCCCGACATCCTTCCGAGCCGACCCCGACATCCTTCCGAGCCGACTAGATTACTCTTAACTCTCCACCCACGGCGGGAATATATGCTATGATTATCTTTAAAGCCATCAAGATAATCTGGACATCCTTGATTGTCGGAAGGGCAAAAATCGGCATGATTATCTTGTAGTGTGATGCCGGCCTAAGAGACCCAGACTTTCCTCTCTCCAGCCACTTGGGCCAGCTCATCCGGGGGAATCCCAAGACATTCCCAGGCCAGCCAAGCAACGTAGTCCCTCCAGGGTGTCCTGGGTCTTCCTCTGGGCCTCCTCCCAGTGGGAAGCACCCGGAACACCTCACCAGGGAGGCGTCCAGGAGGCATCCTAACCAGATGAACCACCTCAACTGGCTCCTCTCGACATGGAGGAGCAGCGGCTCTACTCTGAGTCCCTCCCGGATGACTGAGCTTCTTACCCTATCTTTAAGGCAGAGCCCAGACACCCTGCGGAGGAAACTCATTTTGGCCACTTGTATCCGCGATCTCATTCTTTCGGTCACTACCCAGAGCTCGTGATCATAGAAGAGGGTAGGAACGTAGACCGACCGGTAAACTGACAGCTTTGCCTTCTGGCTCAGCTCCCGCTTCACCACGACAGACCGGTACAGCGCCCGCATCACTGCAGACGCAGCACCAATCCGCCTGTCAATCTCCCGCTCCATTCTTCCATCATTTGTGAGGACCTCCTCCCCAACCCAGAGAAGGCAGCCTACTGTTTTCTGGCTCAAGACCATGGTCTTGGATTTGGAGGCACTGATCCTCATCCCGGCCACTTCCCACTCAGCTGTGAACCACTCCAGTGAGAGCTGGAGATCATGATCTGATGAAGCCAATAGGACCATATCATCCACAAAAAAGCAGAGATGCTATCCTAAGGTCACAAAAATGGATCCCCTCAACATCTTGGCTGTGCCTAGAAATTCTGTCCATAAAAGTTACAGTATGAACAGAATCGATAACAAAGGGCAACCTTGGTGGAGTCCAACTCTCACGGGAAACGCGTCCGACTTACTACCGGCAATGCGGACCAAGCTCTGGCACTGGTCGTACAGGGATCTAACAGCTCGTATCAATGGGCCGGGTACCCCATACTCCCGGAGTACCCCCCACAGGAGTCCCCGAGGGACATGGTCGAACACCTTCTCCAAGTCCACAAAACACATGTAGACTGGTTGCGCGAACTCCCATGCACGCTCCARGACCCTGCTGAGGGTGTAGAGCTGGTCCACTGTTCCACAACCAGGACGAAAACCACACTGCTCTTCCTGAATCTGAGATTCGACTATCGGATGGACCCTCCTCTCCAGGACCCCTGAATAGACCTTACCAGGGTGGCTTAGAAGTGTAATCCCCCTATAGTTGGAACACACTCTGCGGTCCCCCTTTTTAAACAGGGAGACCACCAACTTGGTCTGCCAATCCAGGGGAACAGCCCCCGGTGTCCACGCGATGTTGTAGAGTTGTGTCAACCAACGGAACCCCACAACATCCAGAGCCTTAAGGAACTCCAGGCGAATCTCATCCACCCCCGGCGCCTTGCCACCGAGGAGCTTTTTAACCACCTCGGTGACCTCAGCACCAGAGATTGGAGAGTCCGACCCAGGGTCCTCAGGCTCTGCTTCCTCATGGGAAGACTTGTCGCTGGGATTGAGGAGGTCTTCCAAGTTTTCTGCCCACCGACCCACAATGTCCCGAGTTGAGGTCAGCWGCGCACCATCCCCACCATAAATAGTGTTGGTGGCGAACCGCTTTCCCCCGAGATGCCGGATGGTGGACCAGAATTGCCTCAAAGCCGTACGGAAGTCTTTTTCCATGGCCTCCGAATTCTTCCCACGCCCGAGTTTTGGCCTCAGCGACCACCCGAGCCACAATCCTCTTGGACTGCCGATACCTATCGGCTGCTTCCAGAGTCCCACAGGCCAAAAAGACCTGATAGGACTTCTTCTTCAGCCTGACAGCATCCCTCACCGCCGATGTCCACCAGCGAGTTCGAGGGTTGCCGCCACGACAGGCACCAACAACCTACGACCACAGCTCAGGTAAGATGCTTTGACAATGGAGGTATGGAACATTGCCCACTCGGACTCAATGTCCCCCACCTCCCCCGGAACGTGTTTGAAGTTCTCCCAGAGGTGTGAGTTGAAGCTCCGTCTGACGGGAGACTCTGACAGACGTTCCCAGCAGACACTCACTATACGTTTGGGTCTGCCAGGTCTGACTGGCATCCTCCCCCACCAACGGAGCCAACTCACAACCAGGTAGTGGTCAGTTGACAACTCCGCCCCTCTCTTCACCCGTGTGTCCAAGACATGCGGCCACAGATCAGATGAAACTCCAACAAAATCGATCATTGAACTGTGGCCTAGGGTGTCCTGGTGCCAAGAGCAGATGTGGACACCCTTATGTTTGAACATGGTGTTCGTTATGGACAATCCTTGACGAGCACAGAAGTCCAATAGCAAAATACCGCTCGGGTTCAGATCGGGGTGTTCTCCCAACCACGCCCCTCCAGGTCTCACTATCATTACCCACATGAGAGTTGAAGTCCCTCAGCAGAACGAGGAAGTCCCCGTTAAAAGTGCTCTCCAGTACCCCCTCCAAGGACTCCAAAAATGGTGGGTAATCTGAGCTGCTGTTAGGTGCATAGGCACAAGCCAAACCTCACCCTGTTTGTCTAGGGTCACCCTACTGGGGGCATGAAGCCCCTGACAACATAGCTCCTATCACTGGGACACTCAAACCTCTCCACCACAATAAGGTGGCAGCCCAGGGAGAGGTTTTAAAAAGTGTCTGACACTATTTTTTTTCTTTAATAATTCATTTGCGACCTTTTCTTTTCATTTATGCTATCTATTTAATCTTTCTTAACAAAAGAGCTTGTCTTATATCAAAGAAAATGTTTTGTAATGTTTTTTTTATCTTCTATCAAATATTAGTGATCATATTTTGTAGTTATTGGGTAGAATTATCACTCAAGGAAGTATTTATTGGGTTTGGGAATTAGTGTTAAACCCTGAGTCATGTTTGGAAGTTGTTCTTTTTCTATATTTTCCAGGTTGACTTCAAGAAAAAGAGAGAAAAAAGTCTGAAAAACTAATACATCAGTGGCATAATTTGTTCTTAATAGTAGACTTCATAGTGATTGCATCTTTAACCTCCTCAGGACCATCATACTGCTCCACATCGTCTTCACCCCATGGTTTTAACTATGGTTTTAACTGTCAAGGAGTGCAGAAAGGCAACGGTTGACCTCGGGCAAAATGTGGATTTATATTTCCACATAAAATCAACTGCAGTATTATCTTATGGTCATCTGTAAGCATCTCATTATACTGTATATATTATAAATATTGGCATGATACTTTTCCAAATTAAAAGAAAAACAGTGAGAATTGTTCTCCTTTCTTCAAGCCATCTAGTTCTGGACTTAACCTTTGATCATTCAGTTCATCTAATTTAAACTTCAAATATGAGAGTTCTGGTTTTCCTTCTTCTGATAATGTATTTGGGGTTTTATTAAATACACAGGTTATCCTTGATACCACAATCAGTTCTTCAAGTTTTTAAAATTGAACTAAATCCTTACTTTTGTACTGTGATGGACCTGTGACCTGTCCAGAGTTTACCTCGTCCCTCGCACTGTGACAGCTGGATATGGGCACCTGACCCCCGTGACCCTGAAAGGAAGAAGCGGGCATAGATAATGGATGGATGAATGGATCACTTTTCTTTAAAAAAATAATAAAAAGCACAAAAGAGCCAAGCTCAAAGTTAAAAAGTTCCCTATTGATACCAAATTGCTCCTCTTTTTTGAGTTTTAGACCAGCTATCAAACTAAGGAAATGGTTCCCAAACAAACTTTTCACCTTTTGACCCACAAAATACTACTGTCACAGACCTGTTCCCTCATTTATGATTGATAAACATTTGTATCAGGACAGGTCAAATAAACAAGTGCATAGTAACACTATTCATTATGCTATTTTAATTTATTTTCCCGCACAATAACCACACTATTTTGTAACAACTAAAAAAATTGTCATTGGTAATTTTTAAATGTAAGATTTTTTTTCAAATACCTCACCTTGATATTTTGGAACGGGCGAACAGAACCTTCTCGGTTTCTACCTCCACGGTTTCTTTTTACAGCAGCGCCATCTACTGGTATAACGGGGCTTTACACGACACCAGTGTTTAGCAGATACGGGTGGGGCCAGGAAATACACTGCCTACAACAGTTCTTCTCATTGGTCACCCAGCAGAGCAGAAAAACATGTTTCCCGTGCTGTAATTGGCTGTTGATCCTGAAAACTTGCATTTGATTGGTTGAGAACGTTGGACCGTCTGTGGGCTGAGAATTTGACGATTCCGTTGGTTCCTGTCTGTTTGAGTAGAGGGAGACTGAAGGGGCCGGGCCCACAGCGGAGAAATGGCGAGTGTGGTCAACGAGAATGGATGTGGAGGGGCAACAGAACCGACACAGCCGCGGGAGGAACCGGACCGGGGCGCGGCCAGATGGGGTCCACAACATGCCGGTGCCCGAGAACTGGCCAGCCTGTACTCGCCAGGTGAGTCGATTCACTCGGCGGCTCCGTCTGCGCTGGGTTTGGCTCGTACGGGTTCCAGAGAGGCGTATGGACGACTGGCTTTTACTTAGTTACCGAGAAACCCACTGAAAACACTGTTAATTTTACAAAGAAAAGCGCAGTTTTGAACTGGATGACCGGAAGTAAATGTCGGCAACAATCAAGCAGTTGTTCTGTTTTGTTACAACCAACAATGCAGTTGTTACACAATAGCAATCATGTGAGACTGGTTCAGTTTGGGTTTGTTTCTGCGCTGCTTGGACATTTCGAGCATTTTGGACAGAGATCAGAGGAATCAGCTCCTGCTTTGACATGGATCTGCTGTGACCTTACAGGGTTACAGTTGAGTCAGCTCACAAAACTGCATCATCCGAAATTATTGCCCAACATTCCTTCAACATTCATTATTCTTRTTCTACAGATTGAATATTTGCTCAATATAAATGGTCCCATACGCCCRTTAACCTAATACTTTGGTTTTTGTGCTCCTCATGTCAGCTTGCCAGGGTATGACTAATGTAACAGTGCAAGTAAGCAGTCCTTGCCCATTTAAWGTCTTGTTTAAACAGTTCAGATTGTAGTTTTATTGAACTGGTTAGAGGTAGGCAGGTATTTCAGGCTCRTAAGTCGTGTAGCACGTGACACTCAAAGGAATGTTGCCACCACTGTTTTGAAAAAGGATCTGATAAGTCTGGTAATCTTTGGGCGTTTTACATCACCTCAAGTTCGAGGAATGAAACTGGTAATCTTCTCAGAAAAGTTTTCCACGTCCTTCCCTTATGTGCGTTTTATTTATTTCCTCCTCCAAGGCAAACGATGTCAAGAGTGGATAAGTGTCATCCTCTGCTTCTCTCTTATGGCCTTCAACTTCATTCACCTTCTTGCCAATTTCAATTTGGGACACACGTGGTCCATCCTGTTAGGCATTGGTAAGCTCCTAAATAAAAAGAGTGGGTGTTGTTTTCTCTGCGGTTGTGTTAATCATTTTTCCCGTGCTCCTGCCTTCCTTTTCCAGTGGCAGGAATACTCACGGCTGACTTTGCGTCAGGACTTGTTCACTGGGGGGCCGATACRTGGGGGTCGGTGGATCTACCCATCTTCGGAAAGGTATATTTATCAAGTCTGGTGTTTCTATATTGTAAAAATAAGACATGCTCTCCCATTTATCCTACTTTATTTTCCCTGAAGGCTTTTATACGTCCATTCCGAGAGCACCACATCGACCCCACAGCCATCACCCGTCACGATTTCATCGAGACCAACGGTGACAACTGCATGCTGACCATCGTCCCGCTTGCAAACATGGCCTTCAACGTTCTCACCCTCTCTCCCGGTGAGTCTTCTGTCAACAAAACTTGTCCTTTTTTTTTTGCTCTTGTAGACAATGTCAAAACGAGTTCTTTGTTTTCCTTTAATTGCAGCGGAAATTTATCATATCTACCCCTGGTACTGCTACTTGTTTGCACTGGCCATCTTTGTGACCCTCACCAATCAGATTCACAAGTGGTCCCACACGTACTTCGGCCTTCCCCGTTGGGTGGTGTTCCTACAGGACTGCCACATCATCCTTCCTCGCAAGCACCACCGCATCCATCACGTCTCCCCCCACGAGACGTACTTCTGCATCACCACAGGTCCGGCTCAAAGGGCTTTACGGATTAGAGTTTAATTGATTTAGTTTTTTTTTAAAAAAGGCAGCATTTTGTGGATGAAATCTCAAAGTTACTTGATGTTGGTCTTGCGTCCAGGTTGGCTGAACTACCCTCTGGAGAAGCTGGGTTTCTGGAGAACCTTGGAGGATCTAATTCAGAGCGTGACGGGAGAGAAGCCCCGGGCGGACGACATGAAGTGGGCTCACAAAGTGAAGTAACGCTTCGGGCCGACCGCACCCTACCTCAGAAAACTCGGGCTCTGCCCAGGCTTTCTCGTCTTGCCTCACTTAAAACTGTAGGTTTGTTTTTTTCATCCACAGGATAAAAAAACTCACCGCTTTCTGATGCCATAGCTTTAAGTCTTGCACTTTTTGTTGTTTGTTTGTTTGTTTTCCAAAAGGAGGGCTTTATTTACAGAAATCTTCATGGCTCTCTAACAGTAAAACGTTTTCCAAATTTAGCTTTTGAATTTCTAACCCAACTCATCACTCTTTTTTTGAGAGTTCTGCTAACAAGTTATCCTGACATCTATCTAAAATCATATGTTAGGGAGTTGAAACGATTCCTCTCCAAGTCAAACAGAAGCAAGGAAGAACACTTGGAAGAAAAAAAAATGCTTTGTTTCTCCTCCAGAACTCTGGATCAGTCACTCACATTTCACTTCTGATTTATTCTGTCTTTGCATTTCTACCTTCATGGGTGTTTTTAAAGGGATCCATGATTAGTTGTAACATTAGACTTTATTTAATAAACGTATATTTTAACTAAAATAAATACTGTAAAAATATTGTAGGCTGTTTAGTTTTTGTCATTTTTAAACTAAAAGTTTAAAAATATATTACAGGGATGGGGC